TATTTCTGGTATGAGGTTGACCTCTCAAATGGGGAGGAACGTAACGACCAGCGGTAGGTTTCCCCGAACTTGGATTATCCCTGATGCCTAGGTGAGCTGCATTTTAAAATTGCGGAAAAAAGAAATTTAGATATGACAAAATTCCAAAAGTTAAAATTTAAGCGATGACTATAGTAAAGACAAGAAGGTAAAGAGATCCGAGTAAAAAAAGAATCAAAAACATAATAAATCAGATGGCATGTTGTATTGTTAAAGAAACTGCGGTGTGTTTACAGACGACCTTATAAATTTGCAATCTAAGACGAAAGGATAGAAATACATACCGAATTTTTGCTCTAGGCGTGCATCGTTAGAGTTGCCATGGCTCATAATTGATTTTTTTTTTTTTTCTTTTCTAAAGTAGTCGTAAACGACAGAAAGTAAAATATAATGTTTTTTTTTTTTATAAAAAGTAAAGGTAAAAAGATAAGAGTAATAAATAAGTGTGGAAAAATTTTTTTGATTAATATTAGAAATTATAATATTTGGCGGACATGTATTGAGTAAAAAGAGCCAAACATAAAATTTCCTAGTATAGTCATTCTCAAAAGCTTTTATTATATATATTAATTATTTATTTAGACAATATAGACAACAAAGTGTAAATCGGAGCCAACGGAAAGGAAAAATATCAGTCATCACATTTGTCACAAGACAGAAAATCATACTCAAAATTAGTAGAAACTTAAAGGAGCACCTGACATTTATACCAATTCTGGACTTTTTATCATAACTAGAAACAGCCGTCAGGCCGCTACTTTTTAAAAAATACAAAAAGTAGACATTTCACTTTGACTAAAAGACAATACAATAAAGCGTGTGACCTCTGATTTGTGATCATCAACCGGAAATTCTGGAAATCGAATACAGTTAACACTAATGCTGTAATGTTTAAAATTCGAAGACTTCTGAAAAATATGAAAAATATGTGTTACGTATGTATTGATAGGGTCACGTAAGGGTTATTAACATCTGATTTTAATTATTAATACGTATTAAGGATGTGTAAGTGTAAATATGCATACGAAGTCGAGGCATTTATTCGTTCATAAATAATGGGCTGCTTCATACAAAATAAATTACGTAGTAAAGCATATAGCGATGATCTTCATAATGAAATTGATAAGATTTTATTAATACTAAATAAGTAATACACCAACTTCTGAGGGCAAAATATTATTACCGAATTCAGACTTTAAGAATTTTTTTATACTTTATATAGTTACCATTACGTATTTCGGATATAATAATAAACCTTTTTTTTTTTACAAAGTATATAATTTATATTTAATATTTTAAAAAAATATTAATATTTTTAAAAATCTTTATAAATTTGATTTCACCTTTTGTACTACAAGTAGTATAATGAAAATTTTTTAAAAAAGTATATATTAGTCACAAAACATGTCCTAATAGTTGCTGTTACTTATAAGTCAAATGAGTTAACACACTAAATTTTATATGTAAATTTTTACAAAAAAA